GGGAATAAACCTCTGAATAAACCTCCATCAGAACCGGGAATAAACCTCCATCAGAACCTGGAACAAGCTCCCATCAGAGCCATAAGTCTGGGCCTCAAGAGGGAGGAGAGTTGCATCATGGGAGCCTGCATTGTATCAATGCAGATTTTGTTGGATGTGAAACAGAAACTCCTCCATTAAGCTCCCCAAAAACAAAAAAGGGCTGTTTTACATGTGGAGCTAAATGTCTGCTCTCCTCTGCAGGGTCGTGCTTCATCCGCACCGATCAGCTGGACGGAGAAACCGACTGGAAGCTGAAGGTGGCCGTCGGCTGCACCCAGCGGCTGCCAGCCGTCGGGGTATGGACTCGCTTTGGTGTCTCCAGCTGACCCAGTCAGAGGGGTTCAGCTCTGTGCCTCAGGATTCTGCTTTGTGAAATGTTGGAGCTGTTTTGATAAGATTCTATATTTTCTGAAAAGTGGTTCAAAGGAGGCTCCATTAAACTATCGTTCACTTTGTGAAAGCCAAAAATGGAGTTTAGTTTCTAAAATCCTGCCTTACTTTTCCTATGAATTTTCAAACTTTAAAGCATTTTGATATCTCCAAGCCAAAGACAATTAAAATGATCAAGTTTAAAGTTTTTTCTGATATAATTTTGATCTCTGAAAAGCAAAAAACAAATTTAGGCACAAAATTCTGTTATATTTGTCCCATAAATGGACAGACTAAAAAACTTGTGGAACATGTTTTAGAAACACGAAGAGGATGAAAATAGGTAAAATCTGAGGCTTTCAGGTGGATTCTGAGCTAATTTTGAGTTCTAATAAGACAACAAACTGAATTTATTAGTATTATTTGTACTATTAGACTGTAAACTTGGTGAGCTCAACATCTTGTAGAAACACAGAGTATAAAAAAAGGTAAAACCTGAAGCTCTCAAGTGGATTTTAGCTCATTTTGAGGGTGCAGAGGTGGGTTCCTGTCTGGGTTTTGGTGTGAGGACGACCCGGTCTGGGACACTAACCTGTGGCCTTCTCTCTCAGGACCTCTTCTCCATCAGCGCCTACGTCTACGCCCAGAAGCCCCAGCTGGACATCCACAGCTTCGAGGGGAACTTTACCCGGGTACGGCGCCCTGGTTACACACTCACCACCTGATCGGCCCCCCTCGGAGCCGGTCCGGGTCCATCTGGGGCAGGTTCTGCCCCCCCC